TAGAGTCAGTGCTCTTCTCGTAAAGTATCCCTCTTTCTCCCTTTCCTCTGTTCCCCCCCCCCCCCTCTCCGTTCCCCCCTTTTCTGTCATTACTTGGCTTTTCAATCCGTGGTGCGTGGTTGTGTCTCTTGACTGAATTGCTCCGCTATGGTAAGTCCATTAAGATCCCCCAGGTCCAGCTGTCGCGTCACGTATTTAGTCGTACTTTCGTATGGAGCCACAAAACGAAAGGCTGGACCGAGAGAAAATGTCGGGTGCGGAATAAGAGAGGATCGGGACAAGCCAAAGCACTTTTTCCATCCCTTAAACCGTATGCAGTACTCCACGGCCAGGGCAAGTCACTCTTTTCACTGTTTTTCCACGCTTTCTCTAAGATGCTCTCTCCCACGTATAAGTCGTAGCCCATAGCGCAAAAAACGCTGCATGCATTGGGCTGTACAACGATGTGGAAACTAGACGAGCTGAGGCGCGCCTAGTTTCTTCGCGGCTCGAAGAGAGCTTTCCCCTTCCCACGGACCCCCCACGCCTCCTCCGCCCATAAGCACATCCATGGAGAGCCCCGCCAAACGCCTCTGCCTTTTTTTTCTTCTCCTAGAACCGTTGAGGGTTTGAGCGTCCATCGATAGCGAGAACTTCTTGCTGTCTGCGAGGTGTCTCCTTGGTCTCTCGTCGCCACCAAACACCCAACGCGAGACCTTACACGGCGTCTCTTTTTCGAAAATCCTTCGAACGTAGTTCTTCATAGCTTGCGGCTTTTTTTGAGTCGGTTTCCTCTCGATGACCAACAAGCCTTTTCGCACAACAAAGACAGTCTCCTCCACGTACGTACCGTGCTACGCTACCTCTCCTCCTCCCCCCACAACCCACAATAGCAAAGTTCAAACAACAATAACAACCGAAGATACAACATTCGCATCAACAACCAATGACACCGCCGCTCCCAACAACAACATTCACATCACTTTCGCCGCCACTATCAATAGCATACGCCACCAACACCACCAAACACGACCACCAACAACATCAGCAAGCAACATCCCCAACAACTATGACGCCAACAACAGGAATCTCTCCGCGAGTTCTGGTCCCTCTGGGGATACATGGCGAACACCGTCATCTTCTTCCTGACGGGCCTCACCGCGGCCACGAAGGCCTTCGGCAGCGACAGCACCATCCAGGCCAGAGACTGGGGCTACCTGGTGCTGCTGTGGGTGGCGTGCCACATCGTGCGAGGCTTCGTCATCTGCGCGTCCTACCCGGTCCTCAAGTGAGACCACCCGTTGTCGTCTTTCGCAACCAAGTTGGTATGATTTTGTCCTCTCTCTCTCTCTCTCTCTCTCTCTCTCTCTGTGTGTGTTTGTCTCTCTGTCTCTCTGTCTATCTGTCTATCTGTCTATCTGTCTATCTCTCTCTCCGTCTCTGTCTCCGTCTGTCTCTCTAGCTCTTTCTCTCTCTCTTACGGCTTTCATTAAGTTTCTCATTTTTTCGTGTTTTTGTGTGGCTTGTGTGGATGTGTCGTTTTGTGTCCACTGGTTTCATGTTTCTTTGATTGGGACCGACCGCGCTGATGGCTTGTACCACTGCGATGAAGACGAAAGTTTCAATGGGGGGCAATTAACACCAAGAACGGTGAGATCGTGGTTTATCCGTACGTTGCGTGTTGGCAGACTCCACGCCCCTTTTCTAGACGGCGCTCTTCCCCTTGGCGACTGAAGAGTGCACAAGGGTGCACGGCCGGAAATTATCCTGTTCGTGGATGATTGCTGGCTTTCGTACGTCCTGGCGCCTCCTGCTATTTGTGCGACGTAGTTTTTGAAAATGTTTCTTCTGTTTGGAATCCCTGGAGCCAACCGAGACATGTGCGACACTACCGCATGAGAGCTCTATAAAGTAACGTTCTGTCCCCCCCCCCCCCCCGATAGTACATGGCGGACCGTTTGTTCCCAACACCAGTACGAGAGCGCCGCTGATCATTCTGACATACTGACCACCGAAAATACACATCCTCTTTTTCAGGCACGGGTATGGGACGAATTGGCAGCAGAAGTTGGTGCTGACCTACGCCGGGGTGCGGGGGGGGGGGGGGCTTACCCTTGGGCTGATCGTCCAGGTAGAGGCCGAGGACGTTCTTGCTGTCGGTTGTCCTCGTTGTTGCCGTCGTTGCCATTGTTGTCCCTGCTGTCGTTGCGTTTGTTGCCTCTCTGTGCTGGCTGTTGCTGTAATTGTTTTGCTGGGTTTGTTGTTGATGGGAGATGCTGGTCATGCTCACGGTATTTGTCAGAACCGGCTGGTTGCGACTGTTTTCTGTCCTGTTTAGTTATATTACTCCACACTGCACGAAATCGGGGCGCTCTTCCGAAAGGCGGGAACTATCGCTTTTTGCAACACAACGTTGGTGCTGTATTGACTTCCCACGCCCGTTGATACCCGATTTCGATCGGCGTGCTTGTTCCAAGTTCTTGTTCGCTCTAGTTTTTTTCTTCACACTTGTTCACGTTTTCTTTCGTCTACGGCAGATCCTTCCATCTACCGGTATCCTCTTCATCTCCCACGCGCAATCCGACCACAACCTTACAAGTCTCGTCTCGCCCCGCGAACATCTTGGTTACAGATTACTGCTTCCGACGCTCTTTTCTCCCCTCCTCCGCACACTGCCGCGCGCCCCTTCTGCCCTGTTTTTTTTTTAAAGGAAAACGAGGCTATTGACGATGATGTCGGGGACATGGTGATGTTCATGATCGCCGGCCTCGCCATAATGACTCTCCTCATCAACGGCACCACCTGCGGGAAGCTTCTCAGCTACTTCCGCATGGACAGGGCAACGAAGGTGTGTGCCCACGCGAGTTCGTGTGTGGCTGGCTTTCCAAGAGCAGTGGTAACAAAGTAGTCGTTGTTGGTTGTACGAGGCAAACGGAGGCGTGTGTGTAGGTGTTTTTGTCACCCCGTAGATTGCCGTCCCTTCCAGTGCCCCTGCTGCAGTAGTCCTACGTCTTCCTTGACAAGAAGGGGTGTCCGAGGCAAATTGTCCAACGATTACGGCATGCACGGCTATGAGTGCACCCTCCCCCTGCACGTTCGGACGTTTCTCTTGATAGGAAGGGGTGTCTTGGTTTTCGTATACGGTTTCCGAGGCCGGTGGAGACGTTTTTTGTTTTTCCCCCCGTAGATGCTGTCGCATGGAGGGCGGTGTTTCATATTGTGGTCACGGGGAAGACCAGTAGTTGCTGTAGATCCTTTGCGATGCATGCCCTATCCGGAAACCTTCGTTGAAATTCTTGTTTGCGGTGTGGATGGACACGTGAGCTATTGAAGATCAAATCAAGTTCAGGTCCGAAAAGCCACGCAAGAAATGTCCCACCTCTGTGTTTTTTTGTTTTGCCTGTCTATTTTTTTTTTTTTCTCAGGCTCAGACGGAGATCTTCATCAGAGCTTGCTCGGCCGTGGAGTCCAAGCTAGAGCACGTCGTCGAAGAGCTCAAGAAGGACCGTTTCCTTGGCGACGCCGAATGGCCGGTTGTATGGAGGTACAGCAGTGTGTCTTCGTATTGACAGCTTGGCTGGTAGAGTACCCTTTCGTGGTGGCTATCGCCTTTTTGTGCCGAATCAGTCTTTTTTTTTTTGTGGTTCGTTATTTCGTTGGCGTCGAACCGGCACTGCCTTGTTCGCCAACCAATATTTTTGTGTCTGTTGTTGGTGTCGTAGGAACGTGGTGTCGTAGGAACGCGATACTCAAGTAAGTCTCAATAATCGGGTCCTTGTTGACTTTTTTCATCGTCAGTCTGTCTTTCACGTAGTGTTCTGGAGGTGATATGCACGTAAGCACGCACCGTTTTGTCAAGAAACAAACTTTGGTTATTGTTCATCCTTGGCCGGACTGGAATAATCCAATCACCCTTTGAATGCTCCCTCATGTACCCTGCGCCGGCCAGCCTTGTTGGAGCTGCATTGTCACTTTTTTCGTCAAGGTATAGGTACGTAGATGGCTGATCTCATTCCATTTTGCCGACCAGACCAATGCAACCCCATGCTTATCGCTGCTGCTGCTTCGATGTACATATGTCTGCTGCTGCTGCTGTCAAGGTACGTGCCGATTATGACGTCAAGGGTGTACTGGCACCGCATTCGGTACGGTAGCGTGGTCCTGGCCAAGGGCGAAGACGAAGAGATCAGCCAATCACAACCCTCTGGGGTAAGTAGGGCAGCCTTTGCAATCCGAAGCGTTTGGGGTAAGTTAGACAACCTGTTGCGATCCGAAGCGGTCGGGGTAAGTTAGACAACCTTTTGCGATCCGAAGCGGTCGGGGTAAGTTAGACAACCTTTTGCGATCCGAAGCGGTCGGGGTAAGTTAGACAACCGTTACAACTCCTCGGCGGTAAGCGAGATTTTTGTTGGAACCTGTTCTTATGATCAAGTCTCAAGTTTTGGCTTGTTTTACCTGATGTTCTTAACGCCCAGGTGTCTGTATCAGGAACCGTATACTGCAGTGATAATGTAATCTACTTGCCTCTCCCTCTCCACCCTCTCAACCAACCACGGTTCAGCAGAAGAACCTACTGTACTGGTGCTTTTTGTTGCTATTTTTGTTTTTTGCAGTTGAGTTCGGCTACCGCGTCGGCGATGCTGTCCTTGCTGCCCGGAAACGGCGGCGGGGGCGCCGGGCGCTTCACCCACCTCCCCCCCCGGCTTCGGGCCACCTGGCAGAGTTACCACAGGAAGTTTCACGTGACGGATCTCGTAGAAAAGGAGGGAGGCGTCCATCGGGTACGTGTGTGTGTGTGTTTCTGCTGATGATTTTTGCCCTCATGGGTTGCGCGTTCCATTTTTGGCAGCAGTTTTAGGCTGTTTTCTTGCAAGCTGGCCGGTCCTCTTAGAGTTAGGGCGTGCCCCTGTAGTGTTTGGTGCTTCTAGAACGGTTCTTGTGGGAATGGAAGCAGGCGTTCAACGGTCGTTTCGGATGGTGTTTTGTTCATTACGGCTGACAGTTCAATTTTCTTGGCAAGTGTGTATTTTGTCTTCGTCGCTCCTTTTGTTTGTGTGTTTTTTCGCTTCACGCAAAATGGAGTTTCATCACCGAATTTCGTTCTTGCTTTGCTCTTTTTCGTTCGTGGTACATGAGGTTTTTGTTTGACGTCGTCACCTTTCAACGTTGTCCTTGTACGCGTGTGCATGCATTGGTATCATTATAGGTGGTCGATGACAATCTCGACACCGACTACGGCAACGAAAATTACCACGCCCTCGACAACACCGTCCACATCATGCCCTCGTCGGGCATCGTGTCCGCCCCATCCGGCGGCGAGTCCGGAAAGGGGAAGAGGGGGGGGATCCGTGGACTCGTCAGGTATGTATGCCGCAACAGGATGGCGGCGTGGTGTCGTCGGTTGGATAGTGGTAGTTGTCGTTGTTGTGCTCGTTTTGTCGCTGTCGGTGTTGTCGTTGCTGGTATTGTCAGGTGTTTGTGTGCTGGGTGCTGGTACGGTGGCGGTGGTGTTGGTGGTGGGTGGTCGTTGTCGTTGGTGTGCTCGTATGTCGCTATCGGCGTTGTTGGTGCTGGAACAAGTCCCACCACCACTCCTTAGTACCCAGTTCATGTTCAGCGTGACACTGGGGTTAGATACCGATGCTTGCCGAGCAACTTACCATCTTTCCTCTTGGTGGTTTTGTTTGCGCCCCGCGCACCAGGTAGTTGCATCTCCCCCTCCCTACCTGTTCTGTACTTCCCTTTTGCTGATGTGGCTCTTTTTGTTGTTGTGGGCTAACATGGACGGATGTATTTGTTGTTGTAGGCTGACATGAATGGACCAGAGAAGTCGCCGAAACGTTTATCTATTTTATTTGGTGGCTGTCGATTTCGGCCCCTTGCCTTCGCTCTATGACCTTCTCACATGTACCCTACTCCTTCCCCACTTGCGTACCCCCCTCTCTGCATCGCTTGCAACGGTTTATCGTGCAGTCAAAAGATGAGTGGGCTCGGAAAGTCCACTTCTTTGGCTCGGAGCAGCAGCAACAGTGACCTGGTACGTTCTGATCTTTTCATCGAGTTTTAGTTCCCATCGCCGCTCCTTGTTTTTGATTTCGCGAAAGTATCTGTCTCGATCGTGTGTCCCACGCGGTATTTTGAGTCGATTGCCTAGCGCATCATTGACAAAGCAGTAAGAGATGGTGACACAGGATAGCGAGACTATAAAATGTGTAATCGATTTTTGTCGATTGTTTGTAGATTTGTTCTCTACTTATCTACGTGGTGTCGCTGCGCTCTGCCGTTTAGAAACATTAGGAGATGGTGTGACAAGAGGACAAGAGATGAGAAAACGTCTCACCATAACTCGTAGATTGCTTGAACTTTTTTTTTTTTATCTGCGTGATCTTCTCCGCTCTGCTGTGCAGTAAGTAAGGGAGAGCACCAGGTAGGTGTCACGCCTGTAGGTGGGCTACTGCTCTCCAAGTAAAACTATCGTGGAGAGCCGAACACGCTGAACGACTGGGATTGCTGCCGCCCGCTTTTCTAGCGTTGTGGTTGTTGGTGTTGCTTTGTTGTTGGTACTGTTTTTGTTGCTGTTGGTGGCGACGGAGGTGCCCAAACACGCTCAGCAGCTGGGGTTTCTGTCGCCCGCTTCCGAACGTCGTGGTTGTTGGTGTTGTTTTATCGATGATGTTTTATTGGTGGTGGTGGTGACAGGGAGGCTCACATCAACGCCGCTCCAAGACTGGGCTCGACACCTCCGGGCACGGGCTGAAGGTGCTCTCTTCTTCCCGACCCGGTCTGGATCTGTCCAGAAGGAGTCGGGGGAGCGTAACCCTCGATGATGGCGATGGGCTCAGGACCAAGATGACCAGGGTGCGTGTCCTGTTTTTTTTTTTTCTCAAGAGAATTGTGTGTTGAGACTGTTTTTGTCGATGTTGTTGTTGTTGTTGTTGTTGTTATTGTTGTTGTTGTTGTTGTTGTTGTTGTTGTTTTTGTTGTTGTTATTGTTGCTATTGTTGTCTTCACAGTAAGAAACCCTCCGATGTCTACTCGAAAAGTACGAAATGAACGAAATGTGTGCGAACAAGGTTGCGTATTGGCGACATCCCGGCCTTCATGCGCTGAATTCAAGCGTGGCACAGGTTTGAACCAAAACGTAGGTGACTACATATGTATCCGAGGGACTTCCCCGCTGTAAAGACATTCCTCGCTTTAGCGGCACTATTTTTCAGGAGCAATGATGCCCGCGGATAGTGAAAACATCAGGAGTACGTAATCTCCTGAAGAAAAACACAAACGCCGTTGAAGCGACGGCACTTTTTAGCTATTCCCCCAATGAGGACCAAACGTATAACATCCCGTGATGTCACCCACGCGCTCCGTCCTCTCGAGGACGCGCGGTCAATGGTCTAACAACTAAGGCATTAGTACGACCGACTCCGTCCTCTCGAGGACCCGCGGTCAATGGTCTAGCAGCTACGGCATGCAATTCACCCCACCCCCCTTTCCCCCTCCCCGGTGTTTTGCCATCGGGGTTGGGTTTTCGTCGCTTGGCAACAACGTTGTAAAACAAGCCCCCCCTCGGTGTTTGCCATAGGGATTGGGTTTTCGTCGCTTGGCAACGACGTTGTAAAACAAGCCAAGTCACTTCGTGAACTCGGCAACCAGGTTACCGTTGGTTTTTTTTACCTCTGTTTTTTTTTTGCGGTAACCGTGAATGGTGGTCGAGTAGATCATGTTGTGCGGGGTCGAGAACCCTCACTCCGCGCAAGGGGATGATCGCACCACGTTGTGTTAAAATGGTCAAGCATCCTCGAGGCAGTTACACAGTGCTTACAACTGTCTCTGGAAGTGATAGCACCAGAAAATAAATTAAGTCATACGCAGCTGTCATTCGTATGCAGGGAAGTAAGCACAAGATGCCGAGCACCCTTAGCAGGATGCAGCGCACCCTTTATGCGACTCGCCGAATACCTCACGGTGCTTCGCGCTTGGTGATGTGAGAGCCTGGTCCGGTGCGAACCCGGCGTACTCCGTCCCGGCTTTGTAGGGATGCGAGGTCAATGGTCTAACGGCTTCGGCATGCACGACTATGAGTACCCCCCCCCCCCCAACCCCCCCGGCGGGTGG